GAACGCGAATTTGAAACAAAACTCATAAAACGCACGGGAAGCTGTGTCCAACCTAGCAAGTAAATGGTTGATCGCGCCATCCATTGTCGCTAACCGACGGACTATACCCCCCTTGGATTGTAGTGCATCCAAATCCATAATTTCCTCCTTCTTCTTCTTCCTCTTCTTCTTCTTACCGCGACCGGGACCTACATTACCACAAAGTACACCTTCCAAAACGTTGACGGTCGTGCTCAGGTCATTCAAGTCCTTTAAAATCTTTTTCTGCTCCTCAAGAGAGGCTTCCACGGACTGGAGGATTGCCTTTACATCTGCATGGAGATGCTGCAGTGAGATGTCGGGCGTGATCGTTGTCTGCTGGAAGATCGGTGCTGCAGGGGCGGACGAAACAGGCGTAGATGAGTTTGGTGCTGATATATGGCTTGGTTGAGGAGCAGATCGAGCAGGTACCACTCGAAAGTTGTTGAGATAGTGTTGCATGCACGGGTCTGACATGGTGGACGGTCAGTTGGGAAACGATATCAAAACGATCTAAATGGTTCAAATAATGGCTACATACGTACAATCAACTCCTACAAATGTAATATAGAAGCCATCTTATCAGACCAACGCAAGCCTATCACGTGACTTCCGACTAACTAGATGGAGTTCAACTCGTCGTTAAGCTTAACTTAAAGGATCATCGGTCCCAGTCCTGGATGGAGTAGATCTAGAGTCTGCAGGTCATACCATCAATATTGTATCCTGGTTATGCATAAAAGTTGGCGTGCTGCAGTCAACCATCAGAGACGCAGAAGTGGACAGGAGCGCCAGTGGATATTATTGGCAACCGCATGAATGAACCGACAATATCTTTATTTTTGTTGCTGCGGACTGGTATAGCTGGTTTGCGCTCAGCCGCCGTCGTGAACAGTGATAAACAACATAAGAGGCGAGACCGCGTGATACAGCGACCGAGGCTGTTCTCGAGAATATACCAGAACAAGCAGTAGTCTAAGGAGTCTCACGGCGGTGTCCAAGGACTTGCCAGTGACTATCATCATCTTCACCTCTCGAATTTCTATTGTTGTGCATGTCCAACTTGAACGGGCTCCCTCTGCTCAGCGGTCCTCCACCAGCGCCTTCCACAAGTCGTGCGCAGAACGCCTGTAGGAAATGCAACAAGGAATTTATCATCATATTTACACGCTCAACCCGCTGTAATCATTGTGGTCAGTTGTCACATCTGCGAACTACATCAGTGACTGGATTGATTCGATTGGCGGCTTCGAGCAGGTTACTTATATTGTTCAAGCTGCGCAGACTACCAGGCGCTCATGCCCCGCCATGGCGCAGCATCTGGCTATGACCAAGTTCACGTTTGTGCATTCTGTATTGAGTTTCTCAACAGTGCGTCCCATACTTTCTAGTACCAACGTCCCAATCTGATGTCTTGTACTCAGTAACAGCTTCTAGTAGAAACCAGCTCAAATCCCTGCCGCTCTCCGACCTTCGCCGCTATGTCAACGCATATGATATCCCCGTCAAAGGCCCTATCGATAAGAATGACCTCGTGGATGCCATAATCGCTGTAAAGGTGCTTTCCGCTCCATTCTGGTCCATCATTTTATCGCTCACTTCTCCTAGACACCAACAGGCACCCTCCCGCCCTCAAATGAATCTCACTATCGTGCCCATGGTGTCCCCAAACATCGTTCCTCGCGCCCTCGCGGACTCTTTAGCACCCGTCCTCCACCCCCAACTCACCAACAAACGTTTACACCACCACCACCCGACTTCCCCCGTCCTGACCTTGACCCTGAGCCAGCACCATACAGAACGTATACCTCTAACACCACAAGACAGCGCCAGACACCCCCTACGCCGCCTCCGCCCCAGCCTTCTTCCCCTCAACCACAGCCACGATTCAGAACAGCTTCGCAGCCACAAACGCCGCCCCGATCGGCGCCCCACTCCACTCCACGCCCTTCTCCAGCGTCTACTGCCAGCCCGCCTCCTACGCGCCCACCAACCGCACCTCGCTCACCGCCTCAGCCATCCACGCCGCAGCCCCCGCCCCCACTCTCTGCTCTCCTGGCGATGTCCTACTCGTCACTCTCGCGATTGTCCATTCACACGCTAAAGCAGATACTATACGAGGCACGTGTGCGTCTACCTGCCGATCTCCTTGAGAAAGAGCAACTCGTGGCGCGCGTCAGTGCCTGGTTGGAGGAGGAGAGAACAGCAGCGGAGGAAAGAGATATCATGGAGAGAGAGGAGAGAGAACAAGAAGAGAGGGAAAGGCGAGAGAGGCAAGAACAAGAAGAGAGAGAGAGAGATGAGGCAGAAAGGCCAATCGTGGAGACAGAGCCAGCAGAGTCAGAAGACGCCCATACGCACGGTTCTGCTGAGAATGTCGAGACACATGACGAATCGCAGCAACATCCTCCGCCGCCTTCCACCTCTCCATCACCACCACTACCTAGGACGACGCCTGCAGAACGTTCAGGTTTGTGTGTGATATGCCAGGACCAGGAGGCAAATATTGCAATCGTGGATTGCGGGTAAGTGCTACATATTGTGTTTGCGCACATGGCCTTTCACTAACTCATGCCAACAGACATCTAGCTATGTGTCGTGCCTGCTCTGATTTAGTACTCGCCTCATCTCGCGAGTGTCCGCTCTGTCGCACTCGGATCGTCACAGAAGCCCGACTTTTACGGATATTCAAGACATAGACCTACTTTCAAATTTGCAGATCAAGAACTTCAACTTGCTATCACTGTACATTCTCGGAGGCTGCAGTTGTGTACCATGCCCAATCATGGTGTGCTAAATAAGCGGATTTCATACTGTATTTTTTGTGCGTGCGTAAGATATAGCGATAGGTACCAAGTGGAACTTGGGCTTGTCTCGGATGTAACTAATAATCTGACACTATTGACCATATCGTGGAGAGCTGTGCCTGTATTAGGGGGATAAGCACTAACGCTTGGGCCTTCCTAATACATGTGGAAGACGAACGCACCCGGGCATCGTTAGCAATGGTTCAGACAAGCCTGAGACAAAGGCTATAGGAGCACAGATCGCCTTGAGTTCTCATTTCCTACCTTTTCTGTTATGCTACACTCATTTCCTTCGCGACCATGCAGCATAAATGATCTGGGGGGCAGCCTGAACGCGCGTGTTCGTATTCCGACTCTGGATCAACACTGTTTCGTGATTCACTTCGATTCCCCATATATCACTGCTTTCAAGCGCAAACGGTTATCGACCTCTGGCGAACGAATTCCTTCGCATAAGGGAAATCATATTCTGCACTATCCATAGTACGTACACATCCAAGACATTTTGTGCTTGTTGGTTCCATAGACTTAGTTTATATATGGAGAACGAGTTTTATTTCCCAACCGTCAAGTGCGAGACAGAATGTCTCAACAAGGGCGACTGAGGCTGCTACGCCGTAAACAATCTACGAGAATCTTTGGGGGATGGTTTATCGCAGCATCACGTATGAGCAGAACTGTTTTCATCTCTATTTTGCGCTCTGATAAATAGTTCCACCGCTAGCATGCCCGGACCTTTCATGTGCGTTACAGTGCTTTCCCGGGCGACACTTGTATCAACAACAATACTGAATCGTTTCAACGCCGTTAATCTCGCAACCTCTGACGGACACTATTTGTGTGTTCATTCCCACACACGTATCTAACGTGCCACACGTTTGCCAATTGCATAAGGCGTCGGTGGTCTCGGGGCTGGGCACGGCTCGTGCGCGAAGAGGACCTCCGGCCGTAAATGCCAGAATGATGATTGTCAAGAAATTCATCTAGACCGTCATCAGTGTCATAAGTCGGATCCTGTTGGTGAGGGGAACCTTACGGTCAGAGGTACGAATTGTTCAAGTAGGTGCGGTGTTTTTTTGGTTGATTGTTCATGCTCACGCGCTTTATAGATGCTGGTTAAAGCGTTAATCCGTAAGTTTGGAAACAGAAATCACACGTAGGCAGACTAAGACTCGTGTCATACGAAGTCAATCACTCTGCGGAATCTCTTGATCACGAAATATGTACATGCTCTAGTCACGCCGAGCCTTGACTCGAAGTTCGATGCAACGGCCACTATATTGAGTCACACCGGGTGATTGTATATCTCTACATCTAACCTTCTCTCCCAGCATTCTCATATTTTAGTTTATTGAATGGTAAACTTTGTCCCTGTTCGCTTGTCCCTTTCATTTGCCTCCCCTGCCACATAGAACTACTATGTGGAGACCCGGACTCGGATGTGGCTTAACATCGTGGGATTGAGGGAGGCTTGAACCCGGTCTTCTGATCTTCGTTGATCAGAGAAACACCACATATGATATCGGTATTGATGCATTGATGCGACTGTACATGTAACATCGCACACAGAGGAGGTGATGCCCGGTTGTTTGTGCATATTGAATCCTAAAGTCTTCGACTTCCTTTTTAGCTAAAAAAAGCTTATCGTCTCCGACCGGCGACAGCCGCGTCCGATCCCAGTCGCAACTTGAACCTGTCCGGTCATCGATATCTACCGTCGGCTATGTCTCCGTCGTCTCTCTTACATTTCTGTGCACACATGCGCCTGCCTGCCAACGTCCTTGAAAACTCCCGGTGCGTCAGTACTCAGTACTCAGTGTTTGGAGGAGAGAACAGCAACAGAAGACAAAGGAAGGAAGGAGATTTGGGGGAGCGAGCTGAGGCGGACAGACTGATCATATAATTTAAAATAGAGCCAGAAGACGTCCGCATGTGCATGGCCCTGTCGAGAATATTAATGTCGAGATACATGACGCGGTGCTGCCACCATTCCTCGCCGCCCTCCTCTTCTCAATCGACATCTATGATAATACTCGCAGAACGCGATATACACGGATCAGGAGGCAAGTATCATGGTGGACTGCGGGCGAGTGTCCCCGTTCTCATGTTATCGATCGCACGCGGGGTCGTTTATTGATTTATGCGGCGTCCAGAGCATCTGGAGATGTACCATACCTTCTCTGAGCTAGCGCACGCCTCGTCCTGTTAATGCCCACTATACCGCACTCGAATTATCAGAAGCACGGCACGCACGAATATCGAAGACATGCGCGTTGCTGGTTGAGAATTACTCGCGCTCACGGAACCAACCACACGCGTGCTATGTGCCGCGGCAGACAACAATGCATAATTCTTGTACAGAAGACACGAAAAACAGGGGACTGCGGCCCATTCACCGCGACAGTTGAATGTCACGTTCGTCAACAAGCACGCAGACTAACACATTCGCGAGACAGCCAACTTGAAACGAAATCCTTCAGGCGCACGCTCATTCGTTCACAGGAGTCCACAGCTGCCTGCTGATGGGATCCCCCTGCTGGTTCTTGAGGGTGACCTGCAACGAGCGTCAGGAACAGTATGGTACCGCGGTCAATGGGCCACGTCACCGATGCATCATCTTCAAGCTCCAAAGTATAATATCTGCCGTCCTTGGTCGCGTGGGGGACTTGGAGTCTGCACCTCATCGTCAGTCGACAGGCCTGGTCTGAATCACGCATGATACGCACGCGATATTGCCCTCTACGGAGACCAATTTCCACCAGTGCTCAGTGTCGCTCATGATGACTTGCATGCTCGACTGCAAATTTGTGCAAAGCGGTGAGATTGGCATCGGAATCGCTTCTCGCAGACACCTACGTTCCACGACAAGTAATTTCCAGTATCCTTGTTCTGGACCGACCACAGATTCGCGTCCGCTGTTCTGTCGTATTTGTACTTCGCGATCCACTATTGATGACGTCACTCGTCAGCGTTGGAGTCGGAAATGCATCTCTGGACGTCTACTGACCCTCTGATTGTCGGTATGGTTGATGCCCTGACCTTGGACCTTGACGTGCACGCCGTCTTTGGCCGTCGCCAACACGAGGTCAGTGTCGTGGACGTTTACAAGGACACCGGTGATAGCCATGATGAATGAGATTTGTTGGTTGGGAGGCAAGAAAGAGAATATGAGAAGTGAGTTGGTCTTCAAACCTGCGATCGCAACATCATTTATATGCGGACTCCTCAGGGCGCAGACTCGGCCACGGGCCACGGCATTCTGCTGTCCCGGGCACCATGCGCGCTCTTGAATCGTGCGAGCAGCTCTATGCTGGTGCCAAACCATAGTGCGATGGTGGAACTTTCATCGCAAAAGGAGCTATCAATCATTTCTCGTTTCCTCCTGTCAAGAATGTTTGTCAATTAATTTACCTCATCCCAACACTTTTACTTTCATTGCCGGAGTCGAGCATCATTTCTGGCACTTCATCATTGATTTCCCGGCGGTGACTACATATGATGCCCTGGCACTTACATGCTCGCTTGTCAGGAATGTTCTTTGACGGCGTTACGACGAGCGTTTTCCTACTAGATCAGTAGCGACTCCCACGGCGGTGAATTGCAAATGGCCTTACAAACATTTCTTGATTTCGCTTGCTAGGAATGTTTGTCGATCGCGGGGCAGGGCCATTCCTTGATTTCTCAGCACTGACTGCAAAGTGATTATTCTCGCTTGCGGTGAATGTTTGCCACTGATCGCAGCACATTGTCCGCACTTTTCGAATTTGGCGTTCGCACACGCAGAAAGATGGCATTAGTTATCTTTTCTCTCTACTATCTATGTGTACAGTTGTATATACATGCACTATGCAATACAAGTGTTTGAATTTACTTCATTAATGATGAAATTGATCGAGTACGATTATGTGCGCGCTCCACTTGAGCCCCTTTGAGGCTCCACTGAGCACCATTGCGCTCCAGATATTCTTACATTAAGTTAGATGTCTATGTCCCTCTACTCTCCCTTTGACCATTCGATTTATGTAATCTCTGCTAATGTGTGTCACGGTCGTCCAAGAGCTTCACTTGCACTTACCATCATTCGAGTGCTCCTGCATCATTGTCTCCGGCATCAACGATGCTGTCGACTTCCTTTCAAATGGCTTAGTGCGAAATGCAGACCGGACTTTCGAGAGCGTGATGTCGCTGAGACACTCGAAGCGCTGTTTGCAACAGAGAACGAAGAGGAAAAGACAAGGGAGAACATAGTGTACAGGCCCGTCTCTTATGGTAATTCGCGGTAGAAAACGTCCGAAGGTGAACGGACTGCTTGTACAAGTGTAAATTAGTACATGATATGATATAATACAAATGCTGAGAGGGATTCAAATTCCATGCGCGCGAAATACGAATGAAAGCGTGTCAGAAAAATTAGCTACAATATCTTCAGTGTTCTGAATCGATGTTCATCATGCAGTGAATAAGCAGTTATGTTCTTTACCCATACAATGATACTGCGGTCTGACCTGAGCCTCTTGTATTACTCCCCGCTATACTGCTGCGCTAGAAAAATACACCAAAAGGTTATCCAAGGTAAACGATATTAATCAACCTGAGGCCTGAATGCTCGCAATTTTCAAAATAGTATAGGGAGAGCCATTCATCTCGTGGTGGGATACAAAATAGACGCAGACTGCGGTTCACAAAACGAGGGGCGCTGAGCTTGTCAAGGCGGGGCTTCCAGGCAGGTTGTTGGGGCATGGCAAGAAGAACTCAACCATACAACCAATGACACCTGACACTAGTGTTGTACCTCCCATTGATAGAAAAATTCAACTGATCTCTTGAAAGTGTGGACCATGTACTTGCGATTGGCAAACATTTCCCGCAAACGAGCAATATTAGTGAACTTCTCTCGCAATGGAAGCACTGTGGTCAATGCCGAGACAGTTGCGCACGCCAATTCGAAAAGTACAGACAATGTGTTGCGATTGGCAAACATTCACCGCAAGCAAGAATAATAGCCAGTGCCGAGAAATCAAGGAATGGCCCTGCCCCACGATCGACAAACATTCCTAGCAAGCGAAATCAAGAAATGTTTGTAAGGCCATTTGCAATTCACCGCCGTGGGAGTCGCTACTGATCTAGTAGGAAAACGCTCGTCGTAACGCCGTCAAAGAACATTCCTGGCAAGCGAGCATGTAAGTGCCAGGGCATCATATGTAGTCACCGCCGGGAAATCAATGATGAAGTGCCAGAAATGATGCTCGACTCCGGCAATGAAAGTAAAAGTGTTGGGATGAGGTAAATTAATTGACAAACATTCTTGACAGGAGGAAACGAGGAATGATTGATAGCTCCTTTTGCGATGAAAGTTTCACCATCGCACCATGGTTTGGCACCAGCATAGAGCTGCTCGCACGATTCAAGAGCGCGCATGGTGCCCGGGACAGCAGAATGCCGTGGCCCGTGGCCGAGTCTGCGCCCTGAGGAGTCCGCATATAAATGATGTTGCGATCGCAGGTTTGAAGACCAACTCACTTCTCATATTCTCTTTCTTGCCTCCCAACCAACAAATCTCATTCATCATGGCTATCACCGGTGTCCTTGTAAACGTCCACGACACTGACCTCGTGTTGGCGACGGCCAAAGACGGCGTGCACGTCAAGGTCCAAGGTCAGGGCATCAACCATACCGACAATCAGAGGGTCAGTAGACGTCCAGAGATGCATTTCCGACTCCAACGCTGACGAGTGACGTCATCAATAGTGGATCGCGAAGTACAAATACGACAGAACAGCGAACGCGAATCTGTGGTCGGTCCAGAACAAGGATACTGGAAATTACTTGTCCTGGAACGTAGGTGTCTGCGAGAAGCGATTCCGATGCCAATCTCACCGCTTTGCACAAATTTGCAGTCGAGCATGCAAGTCATCATGAGCGACACTGAGCACTGGTGGAAATTGGTCTCCGTAGAGGGCAAGATCGCGTGCGTATCATGCGTGATTCAGACCAGGCCTGTCGACTGACGATGAGGTGCAGACTCCAAGTCCCCGACGCGACCAAGGACGGCAGATATTATACTTTGGAGCTTGAAGATGATGCATCGGTGACGTGGCCCATTGACCGCGGTACCATACTGTTCCTGACGCTCGTTGCAGGTCACCCTCAAGAGCCAGCAGGGGAATCCCATCAGCAGGCAGCTGTGGACTCCTGTGAACGAATGAGCGTGCGCCTGAAGGATTTCGTTTCAAGTTGGCTGTCTCGCGAATGTGTTAGTCTGCGTGCTTGTTGACGAACGTGACATTCAACTGTCGCGGTGAATGGGCCGCAGTCCCCTGTTTTTCGTGTCTTCTGTACAAGAATTATGCATTGTTGTCTGCCGCGGCACATAGCACGCGTGTGGTTGGTTCCGTGAGCGCGAGTAATTCTCAACCAGCAACGCGCATGTCTTCGATATTCGTGCGTGCCGTGCTTCTGATAATTCGAGTGCGGTATAGTGGGCATTAACGGGACGGGGCGTGCGCTAGCTCAGAGATCTCCAGATGCTCTGGACGCTGCATAAATCAATAAGCGACACCGCATGTGATCGATAACATGAGAATGGGGATACTCGCCCGCAATCCACTATAATTTTTGCTTCCTGAATCCTGATCCTGGTATATCGCGCTCCGCGAATGTTGTCTTACGCGTAGCAGTGTCGATTGAAAAGAGGATGTATCTTGACATTAATATTCTCGGCGAGGTCATCCACGTGGACGTCCTCTGGCTCTGTTTTGAATTATATGGTTAGTCTGTCCGCCTCAACTAGCTCCCCCAATTCTTGTTCCTTCCTGTCTTCTACTGCCGTTCTCTCCTCCAACCAAGTACTGACATGCGCCACGAGTTTGCAAGGACGTCGGCAGGCAGGCGCGGGCGTGCATCAAAACGTGAGAGGGACGACGGAGACATAGCGGACGGTGGATGATCGGAAGGTACAACGCTTGCGACTGAGATCTAACGCTGTCGGAGATACTATTCGCTGAACCGGACTTTTTGTTGCTAAAAAGGAAGTCGAAGGCTTTGGGATTCATCATGTACAAACAACCGTGCATCTCTTGTGTCAAAGAGGCCATATTATATCTCAATGCCTTTGGTTTACAATATCACATGTAATATCAACGAAGATTAGTAACAAGAAGACCAGTTGAAAGCCCCTTCAATCTCCATGATGTTGTGCGAGTCCGGGTCTCCGCATAGTTCTAGGTGGCAGGGGGGACGGATGAAAGGGACGGGCGAACAGGAACAAAGTTTATCACTAGACTTCAATATTACAAAAGACAAGAAGTTGGAGAGAGATAGAGATATCCAATCACCTGGCGCGATGTGGCAGCCGTTGTATTGAACTTCACAGGTCAGCGTAACTAGATCTAGAATGTGCAAGTATCGTGGTCAATGTGAAGTGATTCTCATGACACAGATCTTAACCTGCCTATATTTGATTACTGTTTTCAAACTACAGGTTAATGCTTTAACCAGCAGCACCTATAAAGCGCGTGAGCACATAACTGACGAACAACCAACCAAAAAAACCCACACTGGTTTGAAATATCTACGGTAAGTTTCACCTCACCAACAATATACGATAACACTGATGCGGTCTAGATGAGTCTGTTGACGATTATTATCCTGGCATTGACGGCTGGTGGTCCTCTTTGTGCACGAGCCATGCCCAGCCCCGAGACCACTTACACCCCATGCATTTGGAGAACGCCGTGTGGGGAAACGTGCGCTCAATTGTATACAGTGGACACCAGAGTCTGCAATGGTACCAATGACACTCCCGCAATTCAGTATTGCTGTGCATACTAGTATCGGGAAAACATTGTAACGCAAATGAAGGGTCCGGGTATGTTGGCGGCGATACTCTTTATCAGAACACGTACTAAGCGCAAAATAGAGATGAAAACACACACGTTGCAAAGTGCAATAAAAGATCCCCGAAAGATTTCTCGTAGATTGTATTCTTAGTTGCTCTTGTAAGGACTTTTCTGTCACGCACTTGTTGATCATCGTCAAGAAATCAAACTCGTTCTTCATGAATGCTGTACGGACCTATTAGAATGATCGTTTCAGGAAGGGACTACCCGCACTGCTCAAGACAAGTCCAATACCAAAATGGGACGACATCCGTCCAATATTTGTTGTTTGGTGGTGAAGAAAAACTGTGACCTTTATTTCGCTTGGGTATTCCGGAGAAAGGAAAGGAACACTACCTGAAAGATAGCCAGATCTCAGAAGCACGCAGTGCGGTGTCACGGTAGGCTGGTGTTCAGGGTAACGCATCCCAAGTTCGTGGAATCAACAAATACAATGTCTTGTGGGTGTGTACAGTGTACTGTAAGCGATGCAGAATATGATTTTCCTGTGATCCATTCGCCGGAGGTCAAATACAGAACAGTGCGGGTCAGAGAGCTTGATAACTGCCGCCGGTGTTTAGAAACAACCTGGAAAGAAATGATGCTACTCACACCGAAAATGCCATGAGCGAAGTTTACCTGGTCACTCAAGCCCTCATATCTTGCATTAGCTGCAGGACGACCCTACCTGCTAACCTGTGAAATTGGGAATGTGAACGCACGTGCATGTTTGTATGTACATCTGCAATCTGATCAGCAACGGTGTTTAACGCCAGCAGGCGTCAAACATATTGATACCAAATTTTATTTAAGGCAAGGGGCATAGAGGGCGATAGTCTCCTTGATGGAAAAGGCAAGCTGCACTTGCCTACATGTCCTCATAATGCTAAGTGTGTTGTCTGTCCATAGGGGAAAGCCACGATAGGTACCAAGGACGCTGTGATTAAGACGGTACAAAGTCACAAGTATGCAACGTTTACTTCCGACCGGCTCTCCACTCTCCAGTCGCATACAGAGCTTGCTTACCAGCGAACACGGTTGGAATGGCAAGGATACCTCCGTACAGAAGCACCTGACCAAGCTTGAGATCTACCCAATACCAGACAAGTAGCACTTCAAAGGCGCCCAGGAGGGCAGTGAAGGGTATGATACTGAGTGAAAAGAGGTTTGGGACCTTGACGCCAATTTTACTCCACTTTGATAACAAAGTTCGTCAGCTGAGGATTGATTTAATGCAAAAAAAAACGTACCAGTCCGATCAACACGAGCCAAGGCGACAGTACAGTCGCTGCAAATACGGCAGAGACAAACTGAGGAGGTGACTTTTGTTCAGGGCGGAAGGTATGCTTGATGGCGGGGAGGACATGGAACGAGGCTTCATCCGGGTGTTCAGGAGTTCGGGAGGCAGGTAGGTAGAGCTCAAAAAGGTCGTATTGTGCAGGTGCGTGCACGAAGGAGCCCAGAATAAGCGAGACCTCAAGGGGGTTGTGCGTAGTTGGCGGGATGGACGCAGGTGGGCGCACCATGTTCTAACATGGCGATTAAATCTAACACGTTTTGCAGCAGCAAAAGTGATGCAACGCACCAGCTCAAATTTAGCCTTTCCTCCTGGGGTCACACGAACAGGCTGGATGCCCTCCTCGCCCGATGCCTTGTCATAGAATCGGAGGAAGGTTTGGTGCGGCTGAACACCCTTGCCCTCATCACTTTCCGTTATCTGGAACGTGAGCTTAAGAGTGTCAGTTGGGCCAAGAGTCAAAGGCTCTGGTTTTTCGGTCAGGGACAGGCTGTATGGCATATGAGTTATACTACAGCAGGAATGTGATTAGTGCATACGTGTCCGAGCGCAGCTGGGTCGCATCTGGCGTGCTAATTGTGAAACGAGGGGACTGAAGGGACAAAGAGGCCGCTTGGACAGTTGCTGCAAGAAGCAGCCAAGAGAATTGCCATACCATGGTTTTAGTGAAGATGTTGCAGTCCCAGTTTGGATGACGTGTTAAGTCTTCAAGCTCAGCTAAAGTTCTACAAAAATAATAATAACAATTTATTCCTGAAGAGCAAAAAAGACCCCACCGTGGTTCGAACACGGGACCGCACGATCTGCAATCGTGTGCTCTACCACTGAGCTATAGAGTCGATACCGCACATTGCCCACCTGAACAATTTATTACCGTCTCCAAGACTTACATAATAATACTGACCCCCATCAACACAGGACGCGTCACCGCGTCATTAACTATCCTTTGCATCATGCCTGACGTCGAGATTGTGAAGGCTACCGACAAGAAGGACGAGAAGAAAGATGAAAGGAAGCCAGAACCACCGACACCGACGCAGGAGATTAAAGCTAACATTGCGCTCATCGACCGTGCTATCAATGACATCGAAACCCGGCTCACTCATCGCGTCTTACGTTCACTAACTGCGCTGCGAAAGCGCATAAATGACAAGGTTCTACGCGATGCTATCGAGGAGAATTATCCCAAAGGTGTGTGATGCATTCACACTTTCTATTCGTATGCTCAACTTTGCGCAGACTCTGCTGTCAAGAATTCTCTACTATCATGGCTTCCTCCTGCTCCTCCCGTGGAACAGTCGATGGAAGTAGATACAACATCAGGGACAAATGCTGCCCCATCTTTGCCTCCATCGTCGAAGCCAACTTCTGATCCTGTACCAGAAGCTGAGATTTATTTCCGTCTGCTCATCATTCATCATCTCCACACGTCCAAAGACACATACTCCAAGTCCATGGAGCTTTCTCACGAGACTGTCGACAAAATGCAGTCCATGAACCGTAGAAGTATGGACCCAATAGCTGCCAAGATATGGTTTGCCGTGGAGCGATCATATGAGCTCGGTGGAGAGTTGGCAGATGCCCGCCCGTGAGTTCAGGTCCATGTAAATTTAGCATGGTCTTGACTTGTCGTTTTCCAGAATGTTCCTCGCTGCGCAACGCACTGCGTCTCTTCGTCACGATGATGACACGCAAGCCTCGCTGATTAATCGCTTACTTCGGGGTTATCTCCACTACAATCTTTACGACCAGGCTGACAAGCTAGTGTCCAAGACTACTTTCCCCGCCTCAGCGAGCAACCCGCAGTATGCCCGTTACCACTATTGTCTTGGGCGCATCAAAGCGGTGCAACTAAATTATACTGCGGCACACACGAACCTGCAACAAGCTATTCGTCGCGCCCCTGCTGCAAAGACTGCGCCAGGGTTCTACCAGGTCGTGCACAAACTTTTTGTGATCGTTGAACTTTTAATGGGTGACATTCCGGACCGGGGTCTTTTCCGGCATCCGGTATTAGAAAAAGCCTTGAGTGCTTACTTTGACATCGTGAAGGGTAGGAAAATTCACTGCTGTCCAAAGCAATGCAATTGCTGACGCGTTCCCCTAGCTGTTCGGACAGGCTCCTTATCGGAGTTCCAGACAACTTTGAATAAACATGCTGCACAATTCGAGGCCGACAAAACTTATACCCTGATTGTCCGGCTCCGGCAAAATGTTATCAAGACAGGTATTCGCAGGCTCTCTCTATCATACTCGAGGATTTCGTTGCGTGACATCTGCTTGAAACTCCATCTCGATTCCGAGGAAGACGCAGAGTATATTGTTGGTAAGGCTATTCGGGACGGTGTGATTGAAGGCAGAATCGTCCATGAGAAAGGATGGATGGAATGCGGAAGTCAGAAGGATGGCTACGGCCCTGAGGCAAGCGATATGTTTGGCAGACGAATCGGATATTGCTTGGATTTGCATAACGAGAGTGTCAAGGTAAAGTTTTTTCTGTTGGAAACTTTCACGTCGGGCATATCTCATACTTGGATCTTGCAGGCTATGCGTTACCCTCTTAATGCACACCGTAAGGAGCTTGCTGCTGCGCAGGATGCGCGGGAGCGCGAGAAAGAGCTCGCAAAGGAAATACAAGAGGGAGACTTGGATGACGATGAGGGTCTTGGAGATTACTAGAGAATTTCATTCCCCTTGTAGAAGTAATGCAATGCGCTTCAATGACTCGCCTTGGAGCTCGTCCTAGTAATGTTGGAGCGGCTTGCTAGCAAGTATTTCCTAGATATAAGTCGCACTCCAGCTCCACGGCAATATTCGAGAACATCCCTGAAACCGCTCCTTCGGCGCAAAAAAAGTCCGGCGCGCACCACGGCAAGAACGGCGGCACATCGGACATTGAAAATAAAAGACATTTCAGACCGTAAGACGACACCTCGAGGCCTCAGTGTTCAACTGCAGCACCGACGACCCATATCTCCTGCTCACTACTCGCTCGGCAGGGTGCACTGTACGTGCCAATAAGGAATAAGATTAGCCGTGCATATAATTTTACATCTACGTATATTTGGCCAGGCAAGGTTTCATGTGCCTAAGTAATTTCAAAGTCCGCCACCTGGCCGTTTTTTGCCGCCGGACTGCGGATATATCCGCATCCGCCATTAGTGCGCGGTGCTCGGAGTTTTACAGCGGACGACTCGAGTCACCTTGTTCCGTTCGGCAAAAAAACTGGTGAGGCGTTGTCTGTGCCTCGAGAGGCAGTAGCTGTTTTAAATTTTCAGTGCTCTTTTCTCGCAGCTGTCTTACCGTGGTACCATGTCAATTGTGAGGCGTTTGTGGCAGCGAATATTGAAGCCAGTATGTGATAGACCAGACCATAACCCGATTCACGTTCTGTTACTAACGGTTTCCTGTAGACATATTTCGTTGGAAGGGACATGGAAGGTACGTTCCGGGCGCGACACAAAGCCTTGTCCTGTGTCTCTTGATCCGATAATTCAGGCAACAAGTATTTTGAGTATCCAAATACGAACAACGGTACGACTGTGCCGGAACCTCTTTCAAGTCCCCACTTATGGTCTGACTTTTTATGTGTACGAAGGACGTTCCAAACGAACAGTGAAGTACAGGAAAAACGAGGACATGTGGGCGTACGTTGCTAGTGGCAAACGCTTACCAGGTTTGTACCTCCATTTTAATCGTTACGTTCTTGTTTCTGATTTTTCCTACTTTTTTATTCATTCTTATCGTGTTTATTATGTGCAGTGCAATGGTCAGCATGGCTGACGCACACCAGGCCCGATCCGCCGGGTATTGAGGTAGGACACGCTAATTTAACCTGATACTTTGCTAATGTTTTACGTGAATTTTGATATATATTGTCATGGCAGGAACTACAAACGGATCTAGCACGTCAGCAACGGGTCAAGTTAAACGCAGCTATTCTAGAAGCGAGGTATGAGGCAGAAAGAGCCAATAGGGAGCGACTCGAGGCACCCAGCCACCATTCTGCAGTTGAGACGCAGTCTCGAAACGTGTCTAGGGATGAAAGACTAGAACCACCAGAATCTGATCAACGACCAAAAACACAAACACGGGATCCTTGGGCTGAGGCATTGTCAGGATCCGATGAGCCTCGATCATGGATACCTTTAACTCGGAAAAGGTAGCATGCTTGTTCAGGGTTATTATTTCAAAGGTTGGAGACATAGTGACAGGAGTCTTGCCAATGAATTAACTGCCTCGTTGCCAGATCTTTATTTTAACCGAGCCAGATTTATCGTATTTGCTCTGCCTCGTTCTTGTTTTTTCTACCAGGACCTCTTCGCATCAAGTGATCCTCAAAGGCTGTTGTATGCAAAGTTCAAACATGTCTTATCACAAGGAGAAGCATGCCTATGCTGTGGAGTTCGGATAACTAGACCTTCTATCTACATGCATGATTCTATCATCAAAAGCACATCGCACGTTCAGAGCTGGAAAAATCCGCACGTTGTCCGGTCTTTAAGCGAAGGAAATTTACATTTAGGTGTGTACTTTCTGCTATGAAATGGGTCTTACAGGACTATGGTGATTTGGGCTCATGTTTATTATGACAACCTTGGAGAGCTTTGTGTTATCTGGCGCAGGCGACATTGGGGGTGTATTGTCAATTTGCCTGGAAGACTCGGTCAATTATTTGGCGGATATCACTCATTCCTAGATTCTTTTGATCCCTCTTCCACGAGATATCAGTAGCAGGTTTCCATATACTGGACTTTGAGTCGCAAGATACATGTTCCATCTATGGTTCGAACCCCTGATTATCAAACGAAAGGACGGGAACATGCAGGAAAGTCGATCTTCAGTGAATCTGAAGGTAGTCTTTAACTTGCCGCAGGCCTACAAATAGTTGATTGTGCTAAAGAGCCCGTGCGAATTTTGCCTAACAACAGGCATACTGGTAGAATGCGGCACTAGCAGGCCCACGTCCTCAAACCTCGAGTTCTCGTTGAGAAGCAACTGTCTAAAGAACGAGTGTTGGCACTGCATAATACATTGACATTATGGCTGACATGTGTATCATGAATATTGTGAGAGAAAAACATAGGGTTAACATATGGCATGGGGCGCCGGGAACATCGCATATCTATATCATGACAGAACCCTCAGATACTGATCTTTCATGGAACGAAAATGGTATATTGGAAATGGTATATATCTCTACGATTGGGCACAAATCACTTGGGCTTTGCCTGGCCGGCTGGGTAATTGGCTGGGTTGGGCTTCTTTTCCGGAGGTGGTTGGGTAGTCTTCCGAGGCCTTGAGTAACCACTTGTTAGTATCATGAGACCGGATTGCTTATAATAGTTGAACGTACGGGGCGATCTGCGGAAGAGTGTTCTTGTCTTTCTTATCTTTCTTCGATGCGCTTCTGGGGTCGGCTGGTCCGCGCTCGGTAAAACTAAATGATAGTGTGAGATCCTGGGCCCCGCTTTTGAAAATGTTTATTTAGATGAACGAACCCAGTTGAAGGACCCTGGATCGACTCCTCTGATTCAGCTGGATCAAATTCTTCCTCTGACGAGAGATCGTCGGAGTCATCAGACTCTGAGTCGACATCTGCATTGGTTGGTAGCCTGGAAACAATGAATGATTTCATTGATGGTTAATACTAGGAGGTGGGTCATCTTACCCTTTCTCCTCAGCGAGAAGATCTTCTGTGATTTGGTAGGAGGCCATTTGGTATTTATGATCGAGTAGTTCGAATTTTAGCCTGTTATAAGGCGAAGATACGATATCTAACACAGGAAGAACAACACTGGTATTTGCAGCATGGCGTAGAAATCGCTCTTTGTCTACTACAACGCGAACGTTCATTGGTCAGTTATAAAGGTCCTGTGTATCGACTGACTCATTGCCGTACTTGCTGTAAATCAGTCTGGTGTAAGTGCCTTGATACCGTGACACGACAGAAACCTCGACACTGTGTTATGTATGTCCCTTGATTGACTGGACATGTGCGTACCATACCATATTGACTCGGACATTATGACAGATATGCGTATCATGATTGTGAGAGAAAAGCATATGGCACAGTGGCCGGGAACATTGCACATCTACATGAGAATTGTCATGACAGAACCCTCAAATACGAACGAGAATGGTATATAACTGTACAGCCGCGGTAGGGCACAAGTCACTTAGACTTTGCCTGCTTTGTCTGGCCGGTTGGGTAATTGTCTGGGTTGGGCTTGTTTTTGGGAGGTGGTCGGGGGGTCTTACGAGGCCTTGAGTAACCATTTGTTATCATGAGACCGGATTGCTTATAATATTTGAACGTACGGGGCGATCGGTGGAACGGTGTTCTTGTCTTTCTTGTCTTTCTTTGGTGCGACATCACAATCCTTGTTGGCTGGTCCGCGCTCGGAAAAACTAAATGACAGTGTGAGATCCTGGGCCCCGCTTCGATTTAGATGAACAAACCCAGTTGAAGGACCCTGGATCGATTCCTCTGATTCAGCTGGACTAAATTCTTCCTCTGATGAGAGATCGGAGTCATTAGACTCTGAGTCGACATCTACATCAGTTGGTAGCCTGGAAACAATGAATGATTTGATTGATAATTCATACAAGGAGGTGGATCATCCTACCAAGCTTTCTCCTGAGCGAGAAGATCTTCTGTGATTTGGAAGGAAGTCATTTGTTATTGATGATCGAACTCAGATAACAGCCTGTTATTATATGGTGAAGAGGCGGTATCTGACACAGGAAGAACAACCTGGTATTTGCAGAATGGCGTAGAAGTCGCTCTTTGTCTACTATAGCGCGAAAGTTCAGTTATAAATTCCTGTGTATCAACTGACGCATTGCGGCTGTACTTGCTGTAGATCAGTCTGGGGTAAGTGCCTTGATACCGTAACATGACAGAAACCTTCGACACTGTTTTGTATGTTCCTTCATCGACTGGACGTGTACATGGTGCGTACGTCGAAGTTTTCCCTAAGGGTCTAGACTCCAGAACAAGAAGAGGCGCATACAAATTCAAAGCCCGCGGTGTGAAGTGAGCGGGCAGTGCCGAGTCTTCGCGCTCGAAAACGAAAACCTATGCAGATAGTACTTTAATTAGTAAGTATATGGTAATTTTACTCAGGGCTGTGCGCCGGCAACTCTAATCAGGCTGGCATAAACGTTCTCGAGCTTCGACAAGCATCAACTTCTAGCACGTGGACGTTCTCAGAAGTTAGGATCTGGTCTCGATATTGTTCGAGTAAATGTTGGAAGGCTGTTGCACACCACTACAAGTTCTGGAAGACAAACACTGCAGTGTTAAATTGAAGTAATGTGAAGTGAATTTTCTCAAGGAACACATGAAGTTTCGAATACTAGTCGTAATCAACGTGTCGTCACCTTTCTTTCGTTGTACATATTTGAGATAACCGGAATACATTGTTACACCTGACGTATGAGAGTCGTAGCAGTCACACTGCGAATGATGAATACCTGACGCCTAAACCATCCATCACCTTCGCCCTGGAGGGCCTGGTGGGTATTGTGCGGGAGGAAACTGAGATGGGTAATGTGCGGGAGGAAACTGAGGTGTGGGGTACTGTGCGGTTGGGTACTGTGCGGGGGCATAGTGTGCGGGGGGACGTTGCGAGGGAGCATGTTGTGCGGGAGCATACTGAACAGGGGGACGTTGTGCGGAGGCATGTTGCGCAGGAGCATGTTGTGCGGGAGCATACTGAACAGGGGGACGTTGTGCGGAGGCATGTTGCGCAGGGGCATGTTGCGCAGGAGCGTACTGTGCGGGGGAATGTTGCGCGGAGGCATGTTGTGCAGGAGCGTAATAAGCAGGGGGACGTTGAGTGGGGGCATGTTGTACAGGAGCGTGCTGAGTAGGGGGATGTTGAGCGGGAGCATGTTGTACAGGAGCGTGCTGAGCAGGGCAGGGGGACGTTGAGCGGGAGCATGTTGTGCAGGAGCGTATTGTGCAGGAGAATAGTATGAAGGATTTGCTTGACGAGGTGCTTGCATACTGGAGCCTTGATGTTGAGGAGGAGGATTTGACCAGGTGTTGGGTTGCATCTGTGCCTGCGGCATTCGTCTCAGATGCTCATCCTGCCTTCCACGACTCGTGAACCTAATGAGCGATCAATCTCTGCATTACAAGCCAGAGTGAAGCGGGAAAATTTGTACCTCTCATGGTTTGAGGAGCTGTCTGCATAATCCTTGGGTCGTTCGTCTTCTGAATCTTTCGCATCCTTGGATCTGCGAACCTTGGGAGTAGTTGTAGTTTCGTCGGATTTCCTGATAACTTGGATGAGATATTACATAATGGTGTGGGGTAGAAACTAATAGATACCGTTGTGGGTTATGCTTGCGATCTTCTGGGTTGGGGTACGACATGCTAGTCAAACTTTCAAGGACGGTAGGTGATGAGAGCACACTGAGATCATACACAGGGACACCTTTTATGAGGCTAGGGCGGCAGAAGTTTGCGATAACGGTCAACTCTTTAGCAACCTTTGCTGGCCAACAGGTCCATATATGAACAAAGAAGCTCTGATAAGGCCATCAAGTGATTGATGAGCCAGCCACTGGCATGAGCCGCCACTATCATATATATAAGAGACGCCAGAACTGACGTTGCTCTTACTATTTCATCAGTTACGCCTGCCATGATGTGCTGTAATATCTCACCTGACGTGATGTATGCCCTAACACATAGTAGATTGGTACTAGGACGTGACTGTAATTGCCGTATCCTTGGTCGGTCAAATGTAATATCCATGATGACTTTCCGTATGTAGGCTCGAGAAATGTTGATATAACCTTATTAGGCAGGTGCTGGTGAGTTTGTCGGTAGACGACAACTTCCATTTTAGGACACTAACACCCTTGCTCAGCGTGGCAGGCGCCGACAAAGGCATGTTTTCAACCTTTCGCCAAATATGCTAATGTCTCTTTATACCACCTCTTCTCAGATGATACAAAGTGTCACGACCGCTGGCCTCACAAGTCTGCCCCCGGTGCCTCCCTCCAATTTATCATGGCGTCTACCTCCAACCAAATTGCTAATCCTCGACGAAATGTAGAGCTGGCATGTTACAAATGATGAGGGTGCCGAGTGTCAATGGGGTCTTATTGTGATATCTCGCTCCCGCGGCAGCTAGTAGGGCCTGTCCTCATCGAAAAGTTCTGCCTGGTAGGGAAATTTAAGGGGGAAGTTTTGTAGATAGATTTACAAAGACATGGCGTTTATCGTAAAAGCTTTTGAAACTCCGAAATATTCTTTCCTGTGATAACACCGCCACAGTTGACCGGGGTCTTTGAATTGGCTTGCGAGAACCCAGATCCATGTCCAGATCAGCGTTACGCGTTGGCAAAGGCAGTGAACTGCTGCCACACAGCAACTATGAACAACTTTGCTTTATAACGGGTCAGGCAATTCATGGTCAACAACTACAATTTCCGATATGAGCCAGTACATTCAAGCAGGATGCAATGATGTGGCAGCGCCTTCGTCCAATCATTTACCAGCAGGAATGCTCAGACCCACGACGTCAGTGGCTACTGCACGCTATGGCAAATCGCCCAGGTAAGTTTGTGCAGCTCGCAAAAGCCCAGACATACACTGACGTTTTATTGATTTTTTAGTATCTATTCTTATCACACCGTGATACCACCAGGATGTCTCAGCGCTCCCAGGTTAGTCATTTAGCGTCCTTTGGCACAAAACTGAACAATCAATATCTCTCAAGTACTCTCAACATGCAAACAAAATGGAACTCATACCCACACCCCGAAGGCCAGCTGTACTTCCAAGCAAGACTTCCCAACTACGTCGTTGTGACTGAAGCCAATGTTCATAGGCAAGAGACCGAGAACCAGGTGTCCGGCTGCCTTAAGTTTATCGATGACATAATCTCGCAGCAGCAAATTGTGATACCGCCCTCATCGGAGTTATTCATAGAGCTCGATGAATTTCCACTCTCCTGTGCCTACTACTTCGTAGACCATAATACCCGGCGTATATTCTGGATTGAGCAAACTTCCACAGAACTGCTTGATATGGGAACGATCGTCTCTGACTCCCATCGCGGTGTGTTATTCGAATTAATCTCCGTCGTTTATCCTCACATGTCAGCAGACATCGCTTTAGAGAGGCTGTATTGGGTCCATGTGGAATTCTTCCCGATGCACATATACGCGCAGTTGTCACCTCAGATGGTAGACGATTTAATCGGCGTCATGTCTCATGGTGCAGCAGGTATTTATTTCCTTATTCATCAATTTTCATATTCTGAACTCTGAATGAAGACCGTATGACCTCGCGATCATCTACGTTTCCATACACTGCAGAGAGATGTGGTCAGCTGTTGCAGCTACTGTCTCTGCAACGAGGTACATCCCAAAAATATTAAGCGTGCCCAATTTCCTAACCGAAACTTTCTCTCAAGGTCGGGCCCTCGATGGCCACACATTATGCTTTGTTGGTGGGTGGGAATCCTCAGCTCCTGTTCTGAATCGAGCTCACGAATATTATAGCTCGTCTATGGGGCGCAATAGGTTTGTTAAACATTCAAATCACCTCGACACATACTGAGGCACATGGCAGAAAACCAGCGGTTTTTGACCTACTATGGACAAGAGCATGCCCAATTAGATAGGCTGCAGATCATGACGCCCGAAGAAGATATGGATCATCAATGGGTGAAAACAATTGCAAACCTGGTTTTGTGGGGAATCCCCGACCGATTTTTTTTCGAACTCCATGATTTGTTTGCAAATGAACAAGTGTTTGTCGATCAATGGCAAATTTTCATGACCACATGTGTTTCAGAGTGGCATACAGCAGTTGTTTGGGTGCGCGCATTTCAGATACTGTCGTGAAGCTTAATTCATGGTTTGGTTCTACAGACTTTCCCGATCACAATGTGAGAAGCCTTGATTATCGGACATTAAGGGCGCCGTCATGACTGTTTTTTTATAGTGCTACCATTCTCTCTTGCCTCTTATCTCGTGCTTCCTTGTCATCTGCCTTACCGGCGATTCTCTCAGCGTCTGGGAGCCTCGCCGTAGGATCAATCCTACTCCTTAAGCACCACGGCCTAGAAGACGCCACTGCATCATTTGCTGTTCGCATCATTCTCTTTCTTACGCTCCGCAGTCTAGTTGACATGTCTATTTCAGGCGCGCTACCTAAGAGCCGCAAAGTCACGCTCGATTGGAATGCTCCCATCTGCCATCGTCTTTAGTTTGCCCAAAGGCCTCTATCTATGGAGCATCGTCTTTATGGTGGCCCACTTTCTCCTACTGGCGTCTCACGTGGTCGGCGGATTCGCGATGTTTGGAGGCGCCTGCTTTTTGATACTACTTGTGTGGGCAGCCCTATATGTTACATCTCCAGATGAGTACGACCAGAGTTCTATACTTAGCAAAATCCTGTGTCGCTGGCATTCAATCCAAGGAGATCCTGAAAGGGGAGGTTCCTCCGCTTGACGGTGGCACCTGTCCTGGCCCTTCCCTGTTGGTCCTGCTAGTAGGGTGGGTCTTGAGAGGTGTGGTGCTCGCGACAACACAAATACTTGTATGATATATGATGTACATGTAGTGCGCGCCGAAATAGAATTATTTTATGTGAGTCCGCATAGACGGGAACTTGCAAACTGACGACATTTCTCCATGCTCACATCACCCCTAGACTGACTTCACTGCGGTTGGACGGCGTCCGTGATACCAAGTGAGGTGGTGGGGCTAGACCATGGCTCAAATCCTTCATGCGTGATTCACGAGCGTGCGCCTGTCGAACATAGGCATACCTCTGGAAGTGATTCAGAGCTTGCAGAAAAATCACCCCGACCTATAGAACAAAAACAGTGAGTTATTTCATACGAACACGGAAAGATGAGCAAATAACGTACGGGGTTCTGACGCAGCTCGTTGAAAATACCAACGGTAGCTTCCCGAATAGATTCTTGATGGTGAAATAGGCAAAAACTCAGAGGCTGTAATCCTCCGGCATGTGGCGGCATACAAGCAAGCAGCTGCACCATAAATTATGGATCACCCAACAGCCCAGAATGTGAGAATGCTCACCTCAACTATTTGTTCGTATGTCCTCAAGTTGTCTGCTATCGAACGCACGATGAGCTCGACTTCCGCGTCTGGCAAGTTTTTCACCAGCCGCAATTTCAAAAGTTGATGAGATAGGTCGAATCCCTGAATAGCAGCGGTTGCCCGATGTTTTTTGAAATCCTACACAGTACGAAAAATATATCAAAATGTCCTCGAGGCCCACACCCTCTAGAGGAAGAACTACCCACCTGGACGCAGTATTGATAGGACTTGCTCCTTCGCCAACCCTCAATCCGACTTGCATTCGCAGCAAGCTCCTTAAATGCAACTGCCTCGTCCGAAAACACGATACCGCTGCCCAGGGACCCGTCTAAAAATGGTGCGCTACCACATCCAAGCTTCGTCGATCCCACAACGAGCTCCTCGTACCGCGACGCTAGCCGAACGAAGCGCGAGACGTACTCCGTAAATCGCATCCGCACCAGCGTCTCCCCGAAGTGCGAGGTGATTGCTGAAATCAGCTAAACACCGAGCGATGTCAGTTGCCGACGCGATCGAGGCAATGCGACAATTTTACTAAGACCTACATCCTCAATGAACATGTTATCTAAGCTGTCTTGCTTCGCTGCAAACTCGCTCTTTTGGTTCCCGTCCTTCCCGTCTCGAGTTGCGATACGCTGGATATCATCCTCGCTCCCGGTCGAGTTTTCCGCCTTTATCGGACGTGGCATCATTGGGTTGACAAGTGCAGGCGGTGCCATCGTAGTTGGGAAAGATACGTGTATGTCTTTGTGCACGACAACACGACCTGTGCCGATGTCCATCAAAAGATCCCAGGGTCCACTGGTTTCGAAGATAGGATTAGTTACGCCTGCTATGTATGCCGGCCTATGAAATAAATATCATTGATTAAGGTCTTCCACGAGAAAAAGTGTGGAAATGCATACGTTGAAACCCAATCCTCGCCCGCAAGTCCGGCGTAAGGAAATGATCGCTCAATGAATCCTCGTAGTACTGCACCACATCCAGAGCCCAGGGCACAAGCAGAAAGGACATAATTGGCGACCTGTCCAGCAGGGATATTATGACCAAGGAAGAGGATGCGTTTGCCAGTAACAAGCGCGTTGAAGAGAATTATTATTGGGTGCGTGAGAATTCCGTTCGTGTGTAGATGTGGGTGTAGCGGTCCAGAGATTGTGATGAGAGGCGAAGAAAACGTTTGTATTAGTTGGATTAGGGAATACTTGAGAAAACAGGTATTCAGAACTATGTATCAAGTGCATTGTCATCAAGAGACGCACCTCTCCGACTTCCTCAGGAAAGGTGGCCAGAGGCAGTTTGATTGGCAGGGTATGTCCTTTGTATGCAATGCTTGTCTGAAAGAAATGGGTATCTTTGGATATCCCCGACCGCAAATGTGGGTCGGATGATGTGGGTATTGCGCCACCACTATAAGCGTGGCTCGAGTTCGAGCTTGTATCAGTGCTACGCCGCCCGCGGCTAGTAAGAACACTGCTACCGCTCACTGAAGCACCACCGACGCTTCCTGGGCCTGCACCTATTGCAACACCCACTTGACTATCAATTATAACGCTGTCATCATTCACCCATACTGCACTCCCACCAAGACTGAACGAGCTGTCCGACGGAGAGGACGGGTGGGTAGGGTTATGATCAGAGGTAGCTGTCGTAGAGCGCGAGCGAGCACCGATGAGAACCCCGTCTTCAGATGAATGTGAGCCATTCGATCCTGTCGTCTTGTGTGCAGCCTTGAGAGGAAATGGGGGTATATGAGTGAACTTCTCCGCAAAGATGTCTTTGCGCTCTGAGGCGCGCATAATTAGTTTTTCACATCGTGTAAGCGCAGGCGCAGCACTGATGTTCATCGAATTAATCGCATCAAATAGGCGCGTAAGACATTCTTGGGATGGGTTTGCAAAATAGTCATCGAGTGCAAGGAGGAGAACGGGCTGGCGCTTGGTGAGCAATCAGTCAAATGATATGAAATTCAGATATACCTTGAATATTTGGATGAATGGATGTCGTGTGCAAATAGCCATCGCTTTCACTACGGCACCTCTGCGATGCGACGCATGTAGATGGTGTGCAGCAAGTCAAAACTACCTACGCACCTCCGAACCGACTTGTCATGCTTCGTCCGCACCAGGTTGAGAACATATAACAGTTCCGGGCGGTCGTCCTCTCCATTTGACTGATTGTCACTCGGTTCCGTCTCCAAAGCAAGAACTGGTGCAATGGTATTGAACGGCGTCTGGTTGAGGAAGAAGATGGTCCAATCTTCAAGGTGCCTCTCTGCTCCATCTGGAAGCATAAGATTTGCAAGCAAACTGACATGAAATAGTTAAGCGACACATAATTCGGGTCAGGTCAAGTCGAAATTCACCCCTCGTCTGTTCCCAGCGGCTGAGGAAACTGGTACGTGAGCTGGGCACCACTATCAATGTCAAACTCGGCGAGAAGAACAAATGAACAATGTGGGCCTTTGCCGGCCATGTCTGGTTACTGTCGCCGGCAATGCTGATTTGCAGCAGGCTATTGACTGAGTAAGTATGTTGCTGTCGGGAGGGTTGGGCGAAGAAGTACAAAGTATTGCTTAAAATTTACCTTTTTTAGAATGTTGATATGTGCGATGTGGCAATGTTCAGAAGCTACTAGAATTCGATAATTCGGTAAAATGATATTAATTATGAGCAGCATGATAAGTAGAAGGAAACTTGTATAGTGGACATCCAAGGTTAAGTAAGGTCACGACGAACGCGAATATCATATGGCACTTCTCCTCAAATCACTAACTTGGCGGAGAAGAAACGTTAATAGTCATCAAGATATCACATGTAGGATATATGAGTAATTGCGCAGGCAGTCACATCAAGCTGAAGCGGCAAGAGTGGCTTCATTATGAGACTTGGGCGGTGCCATCAGAAACTCGTCGCCGCGTAATATCGGTTTGGATTAGCTGCGCGTGCTAGCACTGTTCTGACGAAATTGTATATACTAGTATATAAAGAATTATTATAATACAATAAGTTATCTAAGTTAGCACGTACGGGAGGTTTTTCCTGATTAGTACCAAGTCTGTTCGGGGCTTGTAAACCATAAAAGGCAGTAACCGGACGCAAGCGGATTCTCTACTATGCCACATAATTCATACTGGATAACCAATGGCAATATGACTCGGACTTCGTCAGTACGTCTTCTTCCTTGACTCGAAAGTTAAACACACTTATCGCGTCTTCCGCAGACTTCGGAGGTATCACCCACCACAAAAGCTTATTAAACGCACCTGCTGGCATACGAGACTGTACTAATTAGCGTGCCATGCATATCCAGCCAGCCAGGGGCAAAAAAAAACGCGAACACAATAATCAGTGTCCTAATTTCAATGGCAAGTTGTTGTCTCCTCACCAGTCCAAATTCTCAGTCATTTCCTACCACCAGAACTAGTAATGTGTGCTATCGTACAAGTGCCAGTCAGGGCTATCGTACAAATGTTAGGGTTTAGACTAGTGCCAGTTGGGGCTATCTGTTCGGCCTTCCACTTCCAAATGACATTTACGGTAAGATCCACAAGTTGACCACTCCTAGCGCCCAGATAAGTGATACTGCTGATAATTTCATGAAGACTCGGTGTACAACAGGCCAAACGATCAGTGGAATAATCAATACAGCTTGGCACTCGCTGTCCACCCGCAAGCGTTTATCAGACTCGATTAGTAAACAGCATGCTATGGGAAACGGCGCTTGGGTTATCAGGGTCTAGCGCCTGTCCTCATGGTCAGACGATTACTTATGTACTGACGCAAATTGAGCTCCGCTCCAGCTACATATAAGTATACGTTCCTCAGATTGCTTACGCTTCCCTGTCCACTGCTCTGTCTTCGATTTGATTCACTACTCGCTCTGCTGCACGACGACATAACTGTACGCCAAGATGACCGAACGCGTAGAAGACGCTCCCTATGGAACACCCTCAACCCATTCACGGCAAGTGCACTCATACTGAACATGATAGATATGCAAGATCTCATGGCGATACAGGATGAACTATGAGAACGTTCCGGAACTTCATGACGAATCAATTGAAGAAGATTCAGAGGAGGAAGAATTTTCCCCAGAAGAGGTTACATTCGAGGCCTCTGAGGACTACAGGTATTTGTTTTGAATTCCGGTGCAGTGTACGATAAAGTGACACATTTCCCAGGTTCAGTTCCAGACGCTCTGCTGATGCGAGGGCTGTATCTCCCAGTCACGCCCGCCAACTTCAAGAGGCCAGGGAGCAGGAGGAGAAAAATCAGAGCCAGCCCAATAAGCAACCCGTCTCTCAGAAGTACGTGGTTTTTATTATGTCAGAGCTGCCATTTGACGGGGTCAAATATTAGGAAAACAGCTAATCCTCCTCGCAACGTCGATCCCAAAGGATCCGGCTAGTAGATGGCGTAGATGATCAGTGCATCTGCAGAGAAGGCGCAAAGAGAGATAACCAATGTTACTCTCTAGAATGATGTGTTCGTGAATCCTAAGAAGTTGTATACTATGTACATAAGCCACAAAATATGGCACAGACGAAATCAAATCTTGCTCAGAGTTACGCGTGTTCAAATTCGTGCCGGTTTCAGAGCTGCACTGGCAGGATGGTAGGCGAACTTCCATCACCAGGGCGCCTTAACTTATCAATTGAAAGAAAACAATTACAGCTGCTATCTGTAACTTGCTAGATCCGTATGATGTCCGGGGGACCTTGGACCTTCTTGGAGTGGAATTTCAATTGTTCCTGATGTAACTTAGTGCGATCTAGGGCTGGCTGATGAATTCGCGCGCGCCTGCAGGCGGACATGAATAATACGTGTTCAACTTGGCCATAAGTAATGCAAAGCGCCTCCCAATCACCGTCGTACAAACTGCCTTAGCCAAGCTCAACGCGAGTTTGAGCAATTTCTTTACGTGTGTAGTCAAGTTTATGTTTATCGCTTATAGGAATAAATATGCGAAGATCGCAAAAAGTCTAAAACATATAATCACGTGCTGGCTCGGAGCCAATGTGTGCCTGCTGTGACTATCGACGTACGTACTGGTAGTGAGGTGATCTGTGCGACGCACTCGCGATATTCTTGATATAGGGAGGAGAGCGCAGAAATCGCATCCTCTGCTGGGGGTACGAAATCTGCAAAGATCACGTCCTGAGAGGTTTGAAAATCAGCTTCTCGAGGTTCGCCTTGCATGATGCTTGGGCCAGGAGGGAGGTCTTGCACTCGAAGGTTGGATATGCCTTCAACGAGGGAAGCACCTGGATCCAACGTCGAATTATTTATAGGGTCTAGCCATGACTTGGAATCACAAGGCGAGATGACGGCGACTGATTGACCTGTGCGAGCGAGAAGAATCTCTTTCATGTCTGCATCCGATATGTTAACAGTAGATTGCCCAAAGGGTATCCTCCTCCGAATGAGTTGATAGAGTATTGCAAATTTGCTCAAATTCAGAAGCACCAGAAAGGCGAGTTTGAAAGCGAGTTGTAGCAACACTGACTGAGTTCACATCATTCTGAAGGATATCCGATGGTGACAAAGAAGGCTGGAAGTATGTAGGGATGGTCTTTGGAGCCACTGCTACGTGTTGTAACGCATAGCTGACGCGCCGACGGTCCGGCGGTTCCATTGAATGATATTGCGGTAGTAATCGCATCAATTTCCGAAGTCTGCTCAGTCTCTCCACCTCAATGGATGAACGAGCTGCATCCAGTCTCCGTATCTCCCTGCGTCGTTCTACCTAGAAAAGATATCCATCTAAAGTATCTCCGGCTATTGTGGCAACTCACCTCTCGAGCTTTGGCAATGCTACGGTCTCTACCATCAAATACACAAATTGCATGCACATTGCACTCTTTGAGTTCGGTGATTATGCGATGCCACCCGAGGACGTGTCTATGCGGATGAGGCATCGGTGCGAAGTGAAGGCGCTGGGTTATAAGGGTGCCATCGCTGATTTGGTCGAAGATGAGTTGGGGGAGTTAGTCAGATAAAGAGCTTACATGACAACGGTCTTACCGCAGAGAGATCTGAGGCGGTCTGGAAGTTTTCGGATAACTTCCGGGCTGACGGAGGTAAAATTGGTTGTGAGCAGAGAAGGCTAGATTAGAGCTCACCAGGTTTTCTGTAAAAATGGGGTAAGACCCAGAACTCCCATGCGCACTGCAAATTTCGTCACTCAACGTCGAAAACTGACTATTAGCAGAAAACCTCCCGCAGCACTTCTCCTCGAAGCACTAACTTAAATTGTTTGGCGGAGAAGAAACGTTTATAGTCATCAAGATATCACATGCTTCGTGGGAAATAGGATGTATGAGTAAATGCGCAGGCAGTCACATCAAGCTGAAGCGGCAAGAGTGGCTTCATTATGAACCCAAACAGACTTGACAGTGGTGGGAGGTGCCATCAGAAATTCGCCGCCACGTAATATCAAATGGAGCGGTTTTGGATTAGCTGAGCGATAGCACCTGTGCTAGCACTGCAGGTAAGTACACTGCATGGATATCATCAGATCGATATATTAGTGCATCAACTGCGACCTTCAATAACAATACAACAAGACCAGGTCGAATTGGGCAGATCTATTGACAAGGTACCTACTAGTAACAGGACGGACACAGGCGGCGCATCATATCGGACAGTAACAATGACGCCCGATCTCAACTGAGCCCCGTCAAGCTAGCGACAGTGTTGTTGATGGCTTCAAACATCTCCGACAAATGTGCGCGTATGCGATCTTCAGGAAAAAATAACAACAATCAGTAATCGTAACTAGCAAACGGCATAGCCTAAAGCGGGGCAATACAAATGGCGTGCATACCAAACGTCGACCTGAAAACGGGGTGAGATGACCTGCCTTGATTCTTTTCGTCTTTCAAAAGTTTCTGAATGCCGGCTCCCAGCGTGTCTCCTGCGACTTTGTGTTCGTGCACGAGCCTCGCACTCGCCCAGGCGTGTGCATTCAGCGCGATGAGAATGTTTTTTCGTCTGAGCTCTGTGTTTTATTAGGGGATAGCGTCTACGTGACTATATGCGCTCTGAACATCGAATTTTACCTTCTCGGAAGCACAAATTCTGCTCCCCTTTCTCGTTGAAGAGTGTTGTGATGGTTGATATGAAGCTGACTGTGGTAGATGTCATTTGAAGGATTTCTTGTAGCGAAGGCTGCTGGTTCCGGTCATTGCTTGACTCTGGTGGTGAGCGCTGGACTGGTTCAGGTGTTCGAGGGCGCTCGACAGATGTGTCTTCAACGCCGGTCGACGTGTTCTCAATGACTTGGGCCGCTGACGAACTGTAGGAGATATCCATGGTAGAAGTTGTAGTGAGCAGGTCGATCAATTATTGTATTTGCCATCGGCCCAGTGGCGCGGGAAAGCTGAAATTACATATAAGCAAGTGACTATCCCAAGACTATCCGGAATTTTGGCGATCACGGAATCAGACCTGCGGTTAGGCAAAACTTGAATTGCAACATGGAGCGGAAAATTTATTGAAGCTCCACAAAATCTGTGCGGAAGTTCTACTACTCTGGAACATAGTTGGCCAAGATGGATTGTTGAATTCTGTCGGACCATAGCGAATAACCGACGTCTAACATAACTGATCTGCATTTCCGAGCTACGCAGTCACCAAACCCAATTTCCCTCGTTCCAAGACAGCTTTGAAACCAACGTGTTCCTCCACGCCGAAGTTCTCCGTAGGATTGTACATCGTATGGATGGGCTTTCGCGCGTTGATCTCCTTCAAAACAATCTTGGCTTCCTCATCAACATCTCCGAGCAACCGATCCACTTCGCATTCCGTCATGACGGGTGCATCTGGAGATGTTAAAGTAGGATCCAATCTATTCTATTGAGTTTAGTATCGAATAATCCAGTTGAAACAGACGAGAAACCCTTGCCTAGTTGTGACTGCAGAATGCATCTCAGGATCAGTGGGTGCAAATAAATGACGACAGAAGTCCATGGTTTTCTGGCAGTCGGATTGAGCGTGTCGTGGAAGGTGACAGCAGAACATGCGTACCTGGAGTTCATCTTCTGTTAGCGCCTTGCCAACATCTGCGGTTCCTTGTATCACTGCACTCAAGTCCTGAGATTCGCAGTGACAGGGAAAAATATTGATTCTCACCTGGCCTGATAAGACTAAAGGCTCTATCAAAATTGTCCTCATCCACATCGCTCATCACTGGTTTAGACTGATTGCGGATCTGTTTGTAGGTCCCCATGATGACAAGAAGAAACCTACAACATCCGTTGCATTAGTTGCTATTGCCCGAGCGACAAAGTTCACGTGCCTCGTGTAAGAGGTGGCGATCTTTGAGGTATGCCACCGTTGGGCATCCTCTTCGCTGCAAAGCCCTCGAATGGACGCAGCTATCGTGATGGCAGCCGAAAGTCCTCCTGTGAAAGCCAGATGCACGCCAGAGGAGAAGAATGGGTCAATGAACGCTTGATGATTGTCAATTGCGAGTACCACAAAACATCAGAAGAAATACCTCCAGAATCCCCCGCCAGGCGGAAATGATCCCCGGCGTAAGAGGAAGCCGAGTAACTAAAATCACTCGCAGATTTAACAGCTTCCAATGTACCGTTGTTTCGAAGAGTGCCATTTCCAATCAATCTGAGTACTCCGGGAGCTCTGCGTAATTCTTCCTTATAATGAGTCAGAAGATTCGAGCCGGATGTTCCCAAGGCCGCACGAGAAGCCTTCTTCTTGCGGTTGCTCGACTCTTGATCCATCACAATGCCTACAGACGTAGTCCCATCATGAAGAGGGATGAACCAAGCCCATCCAGACTCGTCTGCACACATTCAGCTCAGCATGACGACTTCGGGTAGATTTCATACCTTCAAGTGCTTCGACCCAGATAGCATTCTGGCGAGTGGTATTTGGCATGTAAGACCCGGTTCCGGCCCAGTATCCCCAGCATGCGACGTTGTGGAGAGCCTGATTATAGCGTCTGTTCTTGAGATACTTTGTGGACATGATCCCGTTCCTTCCTGATGCATCGACTAGGTAGTTGAAAAAGATTCGGCCCTGTACCCCGGTGCTTGAATTCCTCCAGTCGGCTGAAATAGGCCTTTCTCCGTCGAAATGAATTTCGGCGACTTTTATGTTATCGAATATGGTTGCACCACACTTCGAAGCATGACGAAATAACAGATCGTCAAATTCTGATCGGATCTGCGAAATGGTGAGATAGAAATAATGTTTCCGATATATCACAGACCACGTTCCAAGATCCATTGTTTGGGTTAAGCGCAATGAAATCTGTATCTGGAGCGAAGAATTGATGTTAATACGACGGTGAACGAGGGCAACTGAGGCTCACATCCTTCTCGTTTGAACTGGTTCAACTTGATCGCAGCACCGGGCTATAAGAAGGAAATCATTTAATGTACTGTATTCTGGTGCATTTAAAATCATCCGCACCTTAATTGTGAAGCCATAGTTTATGATAGATTCCTCTGCGTCAACAAATGCCAAGAATTGGCGGACCGACGGGAGCAAGCTCTCGCCTATATGATATCTAGCACAATTGTGTATTAGTGACCGTATATGCGGATGTCATATATCACAAATGCTGACCGAGGGAAGTTCGCAGCTTCGAGAAGAGTAACTTCAAAACCTTCTCGAGCTAAAGCAGCAGCAGCGTAACTTCCGGCGGGTCCGCCGCCCACAACAAGTATTTCAGTCGAGGTTGGCTAGCCAGTATTTTAGCCTTCGCAGCAGAAAAATCAAACATCAACCACTTACAAGTGATTGAATGGCCATTTTTATGAAGGGGAATGTATGAAAGGGACATATCGCTATACCTTTATATGTGGTATATCTTTGTATAAATAAACTTTAGCACCACAGATTCCTCCCGGCTGAATAGGAAGCTAGGTCATCATCTCCACTAAGAGACGAGACACTGCACTGTCTTGACCGCCGTCCGTATCGTATTGCCTAGTTCAGTCAACCGTTATTACCACCGAGATGATCTGACTAGGTCAATACACATAACCGACGGACAGAGCCAGGAACGGGCCCCAAATCGCCGTTTATGATTGCCTTGGTACACTGTGAGTATGGCAGAGACTCAGGATCCCTTGCCATGACCTTACGGCAACCTCTACTATTATATCACGTGATAATTTGGTGCTAGACCTTCAGAAGTTCAGATGAGTCACTCTGCTTAACATTCAATATCCTGGTCTTGGAAATGCCGATCATCAACACATGGTCCAATTAATATTGTTCAATGTTTAAGTACTAGTCTTTCTTCGAGTCTAGTCAGATTTTCGGGATGAGCTAGTACTGATACGCCGGAGGAGGCAACTGTGTCAGGTATGTAACAAAAGTTGAAAATTCTCAGCGCAAGTATAGCTTAAACTATTTACTCACTCCTGTTAGTAACAAGTCATCGAAATTATGCTCCTCCGCGAAAGTTTGAAACCGAAGTATGTTGGCAAAGATTCCTCACAACCGTGACAAATTGGCTGATAAATTGACTGGTCTGATTCTAGAAGAATACCTGTACTGTCATCGACGAAAATTCAGTCCTACCAACCGAACAGAGGTGTGATCATAGTTACCGCCGAGAAAAATAAATCGTCTAGTGCGCCGATCGACAAACATACCTGGCAAGTGAAAACATCTACAGTGGAAGCTCCGGAGTGGCGTATCAAATCTAGCTACAATGGCTCATATTACGAGGCGGTAAGTTACAATTGTTATAGTTCAGTCCCCACTACTACGGATAGAATCACTGACATAATTCAGGGGTGCATATGATGCCCGGCTCAACAAAATTCATGTGCCGCATTGTTCTCGCAAGCGAAATCGAGAAATAGTGTGTACTAGTACTAGTAGTTCCCTTTGTGCGATCGCCTGATCAGGTTTTAGAGCGGTCCTCGTGCCGTCACGTCTTCCTGGCAGAACTTTGAACGAACGTGGAAGTGCCAGGGCGTGGTAGCCTGACGCTGCCGGGAAGCCAATAGTTCTATCGTACCGCCGCATCGATGCTCATTCCTGGCGAGCGACAACGAGCAACTTGAATGACGTCAAGTCTTTTTGCAAATTGCAATGAAAGCTCCAGTGGAGTGTTGGATCTTGTTACAGTGGCTCATCATGAGGCGGTTGGTTGCGATTGGGGGATGGTACGTCGGCATCGAAACACTTATACGATTCATGGGTGCCTGTGGTGCGGAACTTACACATAAACGATTCCGCAATTCCAAATTTTAGCAATCAACTCATTCTCATCTTGTCCTACTAACCCCCAAAAATGACAAACAGAATAAAAACATGTCCGGACTCCGAACAGAAAGGATCTCGATGTGAATCTCACCGAGTCTTTGCACACACTTACAGAGTAACTAGTACGATGTGCGCATCGAAGGAACAATACTGTATGTGTGTATCAGATTTTTTATCAAATCGCTTCTCTGACGTAGACATTATTATGACCTTGATGAATGCAGATTCCAGGTCCTCAAGAATTCTGAGTTCCATGAACAACTTTGGGCCTGCTGCATGCACAAGAAAGATGATTACTCGGTGTCGTGGCACATAGGCTGTAGTTCCATACATGCCCTGACACTTGTCGTGCATCTGCAGCTTTTTTGCTCAAGTTCCAGCAAGCACACCCCATCGAGACGCAGCATTGGACGCTGGGGGATAAGCGAAGCTGAAGGATGCCGGTTAGCGTGTCGATCTCGAGCATGCCATGCCTGTTGATGATGCAATATTGGCTGTCATAAAGGGCTTTCCATGGATTCACTTACGGACTTGATCGGGCAGCAACTCAGAACGACGAAGGTAAAGACGACTGGGCCTGCAGCTTTCAGATGTCACGTCCTGCCTTGCCATCTTCGCACCGGCAACGCCATTCATAAGAGTATTTGCAAGTCTCTATCCTCCTCTCGTCCTATTGCTTCCATGTCATTCAACATATTTATACATCCAGACCACTGTCCTTGCGTGCTGGAGGATGCGTGAATAGCAGACAGTCGCGTAAGATCTGTTCTTGCGTTTGACATGGCTCTCCACATAATTGAAAGCCAACAGGTTCAGTTTGTACCATTTAAGCGTACTCTCCGATGAATTCATGTCCTGTGTGATACTGAGACGGCTGTAAACTTCGCGAGAGGTATGGTGACGTGTTTGCGGGATTTGAGTGTTGGTGGAAGTCTATACGCGAGGGCAAAACGCCACTGCCACATCTCTGTTCCAACTCTTCGTCCAGTACTTTCTTCCCTGTTTCTATGGCGTGCCTTTGTGTAAGTTAAGTGGACTGTATCATCCCCTGTCATCAGTGTCCACT